TTTTTTTTTGTGTGCAAAATAAGTCCCTGAATATAGCATTTTCTGCACAAAATAATGGCATGTAAATTTTGGGCAGAGATTCTTCTCATGGGATTTTCTGGGCCATTTTTCAAAAACTTTCAAAAAATTTCCCTGTATATTATGTATTCAACAAGGATAGTCGTCACATTTACAGTTAGTGATACCCCAATATTTACTCAAATGTAATGCACATCTTTTTTATTTAATTGTTTAGCCAAAATGGAGGTGCACATTACATTCAACAGCACATCACAATCATGTGCCAAATGGTGCTTGTGCTCCTCCATCGGGCTGAGCTTAGCAAACTCACCAGCCTCAGCCTGAGGGTGGAGCAGCAGCCTCCCCAAGCCATTTCTCCTTTGTCCCCCAGCTGCAAGACGAAGGAGAAATTGCACCCCTTTTCTAAAGAGGGAGAAGGAGCATCATCTTCCACCTGGCAGAAACGCTGCTTCTCCTTTAGAAAATTCCTTTTTTTTTTTTTTTTTGTAATATGCACCTCAAAATTAAGGTGCACATGGCATTCAATGGCATATTAGACTCGAGTAAATACAATATATAACAAGCACTGCTTACCCACTGCTTCTTCTTGGTCTGGGAAATAAGTTGTTTGTGTTGGCTGGCTAACTTCTTGACTTCTTCTAAAAACTCTTCTTTGCACTTCTCCTTTACCTGCTTTGTCTTCCTGTCACTCTCAGTCTGCATATTTGCAACAGCTTTGTTCACAGCCTGCCTTTTCTCCTCCTCCATTTCTGTGCGCAGCTGGAACAAAAGAAGCAGATGAATGAGCATGATGCTTTCTACACTCTTCTTCCAATTATGACTAGTATGAGTTGCTTTTAGTTATAGTTACTTTATCAATTGCCTTCAGTTACAGAACTGACACCTGTTTAGGCTGAAAAGAAGCCTCCAGCTACCACTATGAGCTTTCCTAGGCTTCCACCTAGAGTAGTAGGTACTGGAACAAACTCACCATGTAGCTTATTAAGATTAAATTGAATAAAACCTCTAGAGATTTTCTCAGGCTGCACTTTCACTGCGATAAAGGTACCCATCAGATGCACATCAAATGTACAACTGATTTGTGAAACCTGGAATGCAGGTGCACATAGTACCATAGTTTCAGCATCCTGAATGTGTCTGTCGCTGTGGGCATTGCTCCAGTTTTAAAAAGTAACTTTTTCTGGCAGCACATTTTGTAACTCAAGTAAGTGCATTTATGATTTTAGAACTAGATTGAAATTGTAATCTCTTCTAATGGAAAAGACATCCTATTAGTGGTATATACAGATGCATATTAATTCTATGTCCATATTTTTGTATTTCTGGCCCCAAGGAGGTTGGTACAGCGGGCTGAGAACAGCGGTATATAAGCAAAGTAAATAAATAAATATTTACTTCCTCCCTCTGCAATCACCACATAGTATTGTAACTATATATTCAAAACAAGTTGGAAAACCATTTTAGCAGGCATTGCAACACACATTAAAATCTGGCCATTGTTTCTTATATATTTTGGACTGCGAGAGTGAAGGTTTGCCTAAGATCACCCCGTGAGTACTTCACATATTAGCTAATGAAATGTTTAAACCAGAGGCCTTTCTAGCTCAAGGGTTCACCTTGCACTTCAGATCTCTACATATGCTATTCTCCATTTTGCTTCCCTCCCTCTTTATATAAGGCCACGTCCACAGGATCCAAGACCCTTGCAGCAGAACCACAACTTTCTTGCCAAATGTTCCAGACGTTGCCATCTCTATGTGGAACAGTGATCATGCTCTGAAGTGGAAAGAAAAATGATGATGATGATATAACATTCAGCGAGTTTATATTATTAAGACCATGTTTAAACTGTCACTCATAATCAGTTACCTTCTCAATAGCTTCTCGCATGACTCTTTCAGTCTCCCGCTTATGATCAGCCTTGATTCTTTCTTTGAAATCACTGAAGATTTTGGTGTATTTGTCATGGCACATGTTTTGACACACTCCATCATTATTGGTCTGGGTGCTGCGATGCAGCATTTTTGGAGAAGAGGCACTTAACTTCTTGGTCTGGGTTGAGACTGAAACTTTTTCAATGGGCTGAGGCATGGCGGGGATTTCCTGGCTTGAACTCACTGCTTCTGTTTCAGGCTCTGGTTCCTAAAAATAAGCAAGAAAATAATGGATAATTTTGACCAATTAAGATGGCCTCAATCTTCTAGGCTTGAGAGAGACAGACAAGGAATGAAATACACTGAAACAAGGTATAAATACATCATTGGAGGTGAAATCCAGCATGGTACAGTGGTTTGAACATTGAACTACAACTCTAGAGACGAGGGTTCAAATCCCCACTTGGCTATGAAATCCACTGGGTGACACACTCTCAGCTTCACAAGAAGGCAATGTCAAATATCTTTTGAACAAATTTTGTCAGGAAAACCTTGTGATAAATTTGCCTTAGAAGTTGAAGGCATAAAATAATAATATCCTTTTAGTGTCACCGTAACATAAAATAGCTGGAATGAATCCCAAACAGAGAGCTGAGAAGAGCGGTATACAAATAAAGTAAATAAATAAAGTAAATAAATCAATTCTTAAAGGCTGAGTCAACACTTTGATTCAAAGGGTCTACTCTGTTTAAGATTAGCTACTAAACTCTGGTCAAAAACCACAAACCATTATTAGTGTGTTGCAAGATCATCAAGGAGGACTAGGATTAGGATGCAAAGCACACATATACTGGCTGGGATCCTTTTGGTTTGCTTCAGCAAGAGTAGGCTCATCTAATCAATTGCTGAATTGTGAGCTAACTTGCAGGTAAATCCTACTGATTTAATATTTCTTCTCTAATCAGGAATAGCTATAGGATTTGAGCCTTTGTAATAGAAATGCATTCAATTTACCACCTATATTGTACAGTAATAATAAGGATCACCATCATCCTGTAGAATATACACCAAAGCATATTTGACTTTGGCTCATAGTAATGAGTAACTCTTCAATAGTTTAGTCAAATTTAGTAATTAATAGATCATTTATAAATATGTAGTGTTGCACAACTGATTAAAAACAAAACATTTCTAACTTGTTCAACTGGTTTGGAAGATAGAGTAAGCTTCTATATTCTTATTTCTCACACTTTAGTCCCAAAACTTGTTTCAGATTCTGCTTAAGATGGGAAACCTAGTTAACAATGATTGGCTATGGTACCAGTAATGCAAAAAAAGGGGGGGGGGGTAAGGAGTAATGAGAGTCACAGTTGCTCAGTTGTTAATGCCTACAAATCCAAATGCGCTCTTTTAAAAATGGGCATAACTTCTCCAACATTCACACACTCGATCATAACAAAACATAAAGTGAAATGAGTGGTATGAAAAAGGGATGCCAGTTGTGATCTCTTTCTGCCCTATCAACAAGTGCACACTTCAAATATAATGCTGTTCCTTACTTCCTTTTTGGGTTCCACACTTTGATTACGTCTTCCTTTCTTTGCTCTTGGTTCCTGAGTAACCTTTAGCTAGGGGTATTGATGAAAAAATAATATAGCATTAATTCAAATGTCATAAAATACTAGTTCAGAATTGCAAATAAGTGACACCTATTTAGCCCTTCTTTTAAAAAAATGCAAATTCAAAAATAAATATTTTGCAACATGTAGCTCCAATCCTCAATCTATTTTTTTTCTTTCCATTCCTTGCTCAAACTATCAAAATTCTTTTAATGTTAGAATCTCAGCTGCAAGAGGATGGCATGAAAAACTAGCAAATACTTGCATAATTTGAAATTTATCGCTGTCTATTCTGATCATGAAGTATGGGACAGACTCTTACAAAATTTGACTATTTACTCCAAATGGAAATAAAGATAGCTCCGGGATTAAGAAAGCAGATTTAATCGCAAGCTTGGGTTTCTGCAAACGCATTACAAGTCTGCCTTGCCAGAACGCCTGACTTTCCAGAACTTACCTGCTCATTGCTGGTAGAGGAGATGCTGGACTCGGCTTCCTCCTCTCCTTTTTCCTCATTCTTTGATTTCCAGAATCTGCCATCCCGGAGGAAACGTTGATGCAGTTCCAGCTCATCACATGCTTTTTTCCAACCCATGCTGCGCTTTACATGAAGTCTATGTACATTAACTGTGATGTCTTGAATGTTTTCTGAAGGAATCCAGGCCCTGAAGAGTATACATTAAAGGACACACAATTAATGCTACACATAACTTTGCAACAGGTAGACCCGTTCGAATAATAAATTATAAATTACTATATATGCTCGAGTGTAAGCCAACCCAAATATAAGCCGAGGCACCTAATTTTACCACAAAAAACTGGGAAAGCGTATTGACTCGAGTATAGGCCTGGGTGGGAAATGCAGCAGCTACTGGTAAATTTCAAAATAAAAATAGATACCAAGAAAATTATATTAATCGAGGCATCATTAGGTTAAATGTTTTTGAATATTTGCTGTATTTCAAAGAAATACAGTAAACTAGCTCTGTAAGTGAAAAAGTGGGGTCAACAAAAACAATATGGTGTCAACAATAACTTCATAATAATAATAATAATAATAATAATAATAATAATAATAATAATAATAATAATAATACTTCATTTGTATCCCACCCTATCTTGCCATAGGGATTCAGGCCAGCTTCCAACTTAGTAACAGGCAAACATTGCAGAGCTAGATATAGATCTATAATTATATATACTAATTTCACATATGCATTTCCCCCTGAAATGTTTGCAAATCCTCTCTCTATATATGTGCATTTCTTTCCTGCAAGATTTGAAAGCCCTATATATCTATGTTTATATCTATCTAGACATCTCTCTCTATATATGTGTGTGCGTGTGCATTTCCCCAGAAATATTTGTAAGCCCTATATTCATATCTATCTAGACATGTCTATATATATTTATGTGTGCATTTCCCCCCTGTAATATTTGCAAGTCCTATATATCTATATTCATATAAAACTATCTAGACATTTCTCTATAATTATAACTATATAAGACTTGCAGACACTTCAGTATGGGAAAATTCATACTGAAAATAATGTATACATATAGATAAAGATATATAAGTACATGGAAATCTCTATATATCTATTATGTATATAGAATTTGCAAAAACTTGCAAACATATAATGGGAACATTCATATATAAAAGTAATGTATAGAGATAGATAGATACAGGTATATAGGTACACTGAGATTGGAAATGCTTTTATAAGATTAATGGATATATATATGGTTTGCAAAGACTTCAGGAGAAACATGCATTTATAGAAATAAGAAATAATCTTGCAAATTTGTAAGATCTGTTATTATTATTATTTTAAAAGAGAGAAGGTAATGTTGTTCTTCCTTGGGCCAAAGCTTGTAAATAATATATAGATTTCCCCCCTAGAAATCTTTGCAAGCCCTGTGTTATCTGTATATATCTATATGCATATTCATCTTATATATGCATTTCCCCTGAAATCTTTTGCAAGTCCCTTTTCTGTGTATCTAAATGTATTAACTTTATATGTGCATTTTTGTTCCCTTGGAAGAGTTCACTGGCCTTTGCAAGCCCTACAGATCTATAAATATTTTTTCTTACCCTCCCACCCATGCAATTTTTTTCTTCTTCCTGACTTCCTGACTTGTGGGGGCTCTCCCCCTCCTTTCCCTTTTCAAAACATTCCCTTTGGAAAACAAAACACACTGTTAAGGGAGGATAGAAATATATCATATATTGCAAGCAATGGCTGGAAACAGCTGTAACAGCGGGGGCACCTTGATCCCATTATAAGCTGAGGGAGGCTGTCTCACCCAAAAAGAGAGCTGAAAAACTCGGCTTATCTTTGAGTATATGGTATTCACTGAGGATATACTAGCTGTGGCTAACTATTATAGTTGGATGTCAAACCATGGCTGTAATCCCTTGCTGATTTACACCAGTAAAGAAAAACAGACCACATACGAAACTACTAACATGTACAGTGTAGTTAGGCTGGTGAAAAGGATTGTGGTTTCTGGTCTGTGACATCAAAGTAAATTGTAGTTTAACAATTTAATCTGATATCCAGTCAAGTAATGACAGACAGGAGAGAACACGTGCCCATAAAGTACATTAGGTAAAGGTTTCCCTTTGGCTGATTCGGGGGGGGGGGGGGGGGGGGTGCTCATCTCCATTTCTAAGCCAAAGATGCCTCCAAGGTAATGTGGTCAGCACGACCACATTAGTGTTAGTGCTATTACTTTCTTGCCGAAGTGGTCCTATTGATCTACTCACATTTGCATGTTTTCAAACTACTAAGTTGGCAGAAGCTAGGAGCTCACCCTGCTCCCTGGATTCGAAGAGCCAACCTTTCAGTCAGCAAGTTCGGGCAGTTGAACTTGCGCCACCAGGGGCTCCTTATACAGTACATTACCATTTCCAAATTTAAAAACGAATCAATCCTTTCCTTCTCAGAAATTTCCCAACATACACTTTTAAAGGACAATTATTTGATGCTTCGTTTAAATTATTTAATGCTTTGTTTAAATCTCAAGCACCAAAAGGAATTATATATGAAAAGTGCTTCCAGGAGGGCTTCTTCTCTATGCACTGTTTCTGCACAATTCACATATCTTGTTTTGCTTCTTAATATTGCACTGAGTGTGCTTTATTTACCATGAAATAAATCTATCAATGCAGGATGATATGGCTCCCAGATAATATTTTTATGCTGTTCAAGTTTCCACATGCCTAATATGCCCCACAACTATACATGCCGTTTTTTATACATTCAGAGCACTATATGGGTAAATGAGTTAGGCAGGCCTGTCTCATTCTTTTATTTAAAAGACATTAAATCCCTGTGGCATTTCTGAAAATGAAATATCCCATGAATCATTTGACATTCTCCACTATGGGCCCTTCCACATAACCCTATATCTCAGAATATCAAGGTAGAAAATCCCACATTATCTGAGTTGAAAGCAAATATTGTGAGATTTTCTGCCTTCATATACTGGGATATAGGGCTGCCCTAAGTCTTCTAAAACCATAAGGAGCGGGGAAGCATCTTCCACAAGATTTTTGTGGTTATTTCATCTAGGACTAAAAGAATTTAATATACTTATCCAATGCTGCTGCATGTGAAAATACCTTTGGTGGTGATGGCCAAAAAAACGAACGTCGACCTGATTGTCTTCTTTCTGCATGACTTTGGCAGGCCAAAATCCAAAACCTTTCATTTTAGCCCAAACCAACTCGTGATTGGGTATCTGAAAGTCAAAGAGGCTTTTTAGAATTCCAGAATTATTTTTAAGGATTACATTCAATCACACAATCAAATGGAATGTATGTATCTATTCATGTCAGGCAATATCCTATAGAGAAATTATAGGAATCCCAATACTCAAGAACCTGATCAGTGTAACAGCACAGCCGACATTGTATTTTTGTATAGTGTGCTGGTGCAATATTAACCGGGACTGTGGCGCAGTTGGCTGGGTGTCAGCTGCATTAAGATCACTACTGACCGAAAGGTCATGAGTTCGAAGCCAGCCCGGGTGGGAGTGAGCTTCTGGCCAATTTGTGTACCTTATTGTCGACCTTTGCAACACGAAAGACAGTTGCATCTGTCAAGTAAGAAATTTAGGTACCACCTATGTGTGGGGAGGCTAATTTAACAAATTTACAAGGCCATAAAAAATCTTCAGCAAAAGCATGCGGGGAATGAAGAAAGTACTTCATCAGTGTTGCAGATGGATGGTGAAGCGACAGCTCCCCTGGTGGCCAGAAAATTGGAATGTTAAATACCCTCCGACTGTCTGTCTATATGTGTTATGTGTCTATGGCATTGAATGTTTGCCATGTATGTGTACATTGTAATCTGCCCTGAGTCCCCTGCGGGGTGAGAAGGGCGGAATATAAATACTGTAAATAAATAAATAAATAATACTCTATCACTTATAAGTAGACACAGGAAGTTGAACGCTAGGGGCTTAGTGTGAAATGACAAACTTCAGTATAGTTTATATGCAAGTACCATGTTCTTTATTATCAGCAGAGACTTTGGATGGACTTGTGACACAAACTTTGCTAAAGCCATTCAGCTTTGTATGTTCTGTTCTTTTATGATATAGCAAATGTTTCATGTGCATTTAACTGTGATTTGTGTGAATAAGCAAACTTACACAAGGATAGCAGAACCAATTGTCAGGACGTGCATTCGATAAATAAAAGCAGTTCTTGCAAAGCTGAAGTTCATCCAACTATAAAGAGAAACACGTGTCAGACTACATACTTATATTAATCACTAGCTTGGTTATCCGGCGTTGCCCAGGTTATTTTAAAAAGTCATTTTTTTATTTTACAAAATGCATAAGTTTGTGGGTGAACTACAACTCACATCATGCAGGTTAACCCCCTGAAACTCTATCAGTAGTTAAAGTTTGTCATAGTCTCAAAGCACCACATGGGGCTATCAATAGCTATAAAAATGCAAAAAGCAAAACTATGCTGAGCCCTGCTGTAACTTTCCACCATTTCAGAGACCCCCAGAATCTCTGGAGCTTGTTTTGAGTTTCAGATAACGTTTTACTACACCACTGTATATAATGGAAAATCATCATCCATTAATGCTGGTATCCATGAGGCATCTTGGAACCAAACCCCAGTTGATACAGAGGGCTTACTGCATAGCTGCCCAATATTACAACTTACAAGGCCAATGAAACCAGTGGAAGATAGAAAATGATATGTAGTTATGCCAGGCGATACTGCCCACCAACTAACTCACTGGATGTTACTTACCTCATGGCAAGTATCTTTGTAAAGCATCCTGGCTATATCAGCTTGCTCACTCTCTGCTGCAAATTAAAGACACAACAAATTAAATATGCTTAAAATGTTCATACATCAGCAATAAGCAATCTTGTCTTCGTCTGAAGTAAGAAAATCAGAACAGGCTTACTGGTATGAGTTAGACATATTTAGAACAACTGCCTACTTGCTTAAGTGATTTCTAATGTGTGTTGCTCAACACTGCTTGAGTTAACTGCATCTGCCATGGCTATGATGTTTATTATGAAAGGCATGTTCCTAAATGTGCATCATTTTGCATATAATAAGGGTCTGTGCCGCAAAAGTTTAGGGCTTCCGCATTGTGGCTCTTTATTCTGGGAAACACATCATACAGGCACAACAAGCATGACTAGCATGCAGAGTGGTAGCCAGCTTTAGTGGGCAAGAGGTATTTGTCTTCCCTTCCACCTATTATGCAGTTTGCCTTGCTAAAGCCATTCAGCTATTAGCTAAGCCCAAAAACATATGAAGTACACTTGCTTTCTCTGCAAGAGACATCCTGTAATTTTGACTGTGGAGAGGTTGGTGGAGAGAATTATTTTGCCTGCAAAGTTTTCTGGGCAGAAGGGAAGTTGTGTTGACTTTTATGGCTTTATCCAGAATTAAACATATGGTTTTAGCCAGAGATAATCCCTCACAAAAAAACCCAAAAAACAATTTATACTGTTGTGAGACACATCTATGAGGAGACAACACAACAACAGAGTAAAGAAATATGTTTGGATCTAGTTAGAACTCAGGGGAACATTTCCATTTCTATATGCAATACTGTTTTTCAGCAAGATAGAAGTTACTACTAAAAAATGTTGTTGTTCATTTGTGCAGTCGCTTTCGACTCTTCGTGACCTCATGGACCAGTCCACACCAGAGCTCTCTGTCGGTTGTCACCACCCACAACTCCTTCAAGGTCAAGCCAGTCACTTCAAGCATGTCATCCATCCATCTTGCCCTTGGTCATCCCCTCTTTCTTTTTCCTTCCATTTTCCCCAGCATCATTGTCTTCTCTTAGCTTTCCTGTCTTCTCATTATGTGTCCAAAATACTTCATCTTTRCCTCTAATACCCTTCCCTCCAATGAGCAGTCGGGCTTTATTTCCTGAAGTATGGACTGGTTGGATCTTCTCATGGTCCAAGGCACTCTCAGAATTTTCCTCCAACACCACAGTTCAAAAGCATCTATCTTCCTTTTTTCAGCCTTCCCTATGGTCCAGCTCTCACATATGGGGAATACCATTGCTTTTACTAGGCAGATCTTCGTTGCCAGTGTGGTGTCTCTACCCTTCACTATTTTATCGAGATTGGTCATTGCTCTCTTCCCAAAAAGTAATTCTGATTTCCTTGCTGCAGTCTGCATCTGCAGCAATCTTKGCACCTAGAAAAACAAAGTCTGTCACTGCCTCCACATTTTCTCCCTCTATTTGCCAGTTGTCAATCAGTCTTGTTGCTATAACCTTGGTTTTTTATGTTTAACTGCAACCCAACTTTTGCGCTTTCTTCTTTAACCTTGATTAGAAGGCTCCTCAGCTCCTCCTTGCTTTCAGCCATCAAAGTGGTATCATCTGCATATCTAAGGTTGTTAATGTTTCTTCCAGAAATTTTAACCCCAGCCTTGCATTCATCATGATGTGTTGAATACGTTGGGTGAGAGTATACAACCCTGCCGTACGTCTTTCTCAATCTTGAACCAGTCTGTTATTCTATGGTCAGTTCTTACTGTTGCTATTTGGTCCTTATACAGATTCCTCAGGAGAAAGACAAGGTGATTTGGTATGCCCATACCACCAAGAACTTGCCACAATTTATTATGATCCACAAAGTCAAAGGCTTTAGAATAGTCAATAAAACAGAAATAGATGTTTTTCTGAAATTCCCTGCCTTTCTCCATTATCCAGCGGATATTGGCAATTTAGTCTCTCATTCCTCTGCCTTTTCTAAACCCAGCTTGTACATCTATAACCTATTTTACACACTAAGTGTTTTGAAAATGCTTTGGATTTCCTAGCCATGGACTATAAAGTGCAGTTGCAAACCTTAATAAAGGAACTCCTCTTCTGCCCAACCCAGTCATGGGCTTGGGAAGCTTGCACAAGCCACACCAAGGGAGGCCAAACTGCTACAGTGCTGAATTCTGGGAACTCTGGAAACTGAACAGGCTGGGCTATTTTGAATTCCCAAATTCCTCATAGCTGATACTGGGGAGCATTTCTTAGCTCTGTCTTCATGAGCTAGCTCATCAGGAACTTTCTCTCCATCTCAGAGCCCAGACAGCTTCTTCAAACATCTCTTTTCTGGATCTTCTTGAAAATGTCATGGTTTCAAGGGAACTGAAACTTTTGAAACGGTCCCTAAGAATATGCAAGGTCAAACAACTGTATTTCAAAATGCACTATATTTCATCTCATACACTGTCTCTAAAACCTTTTAGATATTACATAAATGTGTGCTTACTTGAGTTTCTGCTAAACACATTAACTCTAAATGATTTCCACTTACCTCCATAAAAAATCACTGTGTTGTGTAGAAGAAGCTGAGCATCTGCTTTGAATTCCTCATAACTCCTGTACTTTCCTTCATTTACTTTCTAAACAGATTTTAATAGAATCATAAAGACAAGCATTAGAGTTGCTAAATAACCACAGTGATATATGTTATCAATCAGTTTGGCATTACAAAAAGTGGAGTTGAGTACAGTACAACAATGGAGAACAGAATTTGGGTTCAGCTTCAGTTTCTAGAACACAATGTAGTACTTCTGGGATAGGTCTCTCTAAGGCAGTGATTCTCAACCTGTGGGTCCCCAGGTGTTTTGGCCTACAACTCCCAGAATTCCCAGCCATTTTACCAGCTGTTAGGATTATTGGGAGTTGAAAGTCAAAACATCTGGGGACCCACAGGTTGAGAACCACTGCTTTAAGGGAAACCTAGCAGGACTCCTTTTAAAGCTGTTGTGAGTACAAGGCTTCTCAGCATAGATAACCATTTCTGTAGCGCAAAACTGTTCAGGAGAGGACTGTAAGTATTCACTTGGGAACTTCTCTGCCCCAATTCTACAATTATTCTTTTCTAAAGGTAGAAAATAATGTCAAATTATAAGGAACTTACCTCTTGTATAGTAGGGACATCAACAGCTGTGTGCACCAGTCTACGATACATGGGGTGTTTGTTATCTTTGCCTTTTTTGTTTAAATCAATAGCCTAAAAGAAACAACAAAAACAAATCTTATTTTTAAAAAATGGTAAAGCATACAAATGAAAACCAAATCCTAAGATTAAACACAATTATAAATTCATGCAACATTTTATTTCAGCATTTGTCAAGAGGAGCAGCAAGAATGGGATGCTCCTGAAATAGATAGGACACGAAAAATATAGATTCGCATAGAGAATCACATTTATAGAAGACTATGGACCATCTGTTAGATGCACACACAGTACATCTGAACTACCTGCAGCAGTTCTGAAGAATACATGGTTCTAATCTAACAATAAGCATTCGCCTTATTCAAACCATAACATCTTGCCAAATGAAATGTATTGGAAGGGAGAGGCCTTTTCAACAGGTTGTCAGAGTAAAATCTGTATGCTTCTCTTGAAAATTTCCCTTCTGAATTACAAGTTTGACACAGCAGAACTTTTGACACATGCTTTTCATGCAGTTATTTCATCCTATCTCTTGGTGATGGACAAAGAAGAACTCCAGCTGTTCAGGTAGAGAAGAAGAATAAACACATACAAGAAAGGAGCAGATAGAGGAGACCCTGCTGTCTCGTTTCCCAATTCAGTCCCAAGTTTAAAGTACTTGAAAAATACCACAAGCTTTTGTAATAAAGAACATGATACTTCAAAACTTACTCGTTCCTTCATTCGGGAGACAATGAAACGTAAATAAGTGCTCATCTCTTGCTTGCTTGTGTTCTTCTTTTTAATGCTCTGAGGGGGAAAAGAATCAGCATTTTAATTCTGGATTTTTGGTCTTCAGTGAATGCATTGAAACTTTACCATAGCAAGTTGTTAAAAAAAACAAACCCTCAGTGATAACATTTTAAGCATCACATTAGCACAAGCAACTTTCTAATGTTCTCTTGGAGGATGTAAAGGACCTCTTTCAAAACAATGTGAAAAGAAACAAACTGTTGGATCTGATCAAGTGACATTGTTGGACCAGAACTTATTCCCCCCTCAAACATGAACAAAGCTTAAAATATCTTAAAACCAAAAGCAGTTGAAAGGAACTTCAGGGAGAATTTTGTAACTGGACATGATATAATGACACGTTCGAATAACATCCTTAGAGTGCTATTTTTCTCATTTCAAAATGCAATTAACTTAGATAGAAGTTCAATATGGGATTTATATCTATGCAAACATATTTAATACTGGCATGTTAATAAGCCAAGACTTTTTAAAAAAAGAGTATGTGCTGCACTTAAGACAAATAACGCTGTACAGATGATAGCACCAGAATGCATTCATCCTCCCTCTATTCATCTATATTCCTTCTAAGACCTGCAGATTACAGGAGGGGAAGGGAACCTCCCCTCTCCCATTTTCACTGGATACTGGCCAATATTCTTCAGGTGTATAACCCTAGGCAAGTTGCAGGAAGGAAAGCAAACTGCTGAAGCATTCAGAGCAGAGATAAGCAACTTCACCAAGTCTAGGCAAGTCCAGGGTTGCATGGAATGCCAAAAGGATATCCACATTTAGTTCTGAAAATCAGCTTTTAAAAATGTTAAACAGCATACTGACACCTAATTAAAAAGTAAGTTATGAAGAGGCTTTCAGGAACGCCAATCCATTCAACTTTGGGGAGGGGCAGATAAAAAGCATTTCAACAGCATGTGGATAGGAGGGTCTGCAAAAACAACACTGAGCCCCAGAGCCACGTTTTTCCTACTACAAGAACTCTGACAACAATGGAAAAGGCAAGAGGCTGAGCAACATCAAATGGCAGTTCCTTCATGCTGTTGTAAAGAAGTTTTCAGTTGTCCCTGTCAATAGAAGTGTGGCAGAAAGGTCTCAAAGGTCTTGTGCATATTTTTCTAGCGAGCAAATGTGATTAAAGCTTGCCTTGACAGTAGTTTGCTAACATTCCTATTAATCACAGACATGAAAAGCTAGCATATATGGGATGACAGATTGAAAGACAGTCACAGAAAAAAACTGAAAGCTGTTAAATCAAAATTTTAATGGACAGGAACCAGTGTTGCAAAAACTTTCTGCTTTTGTCAGGGAGAAGAAACCACTATGTGAGAAATATTTCAAGTACACAGTACCTCAGAAATGAGAAGAGGATTTCAACATGGATTTCTCAAAAAACAAGTCATGCCTGACTAATCATATTTCTTTTTTGATAGGGTTACAAGCTTGGTAGATGCAGGGAAAGCTGTGGATGTAGCATATCTTGATTTCAGTAAGGCCTTTGACAAGTTTCCCCATGATCTTCTTGCAAACAAACTAGTAAAATGTGGGTGAGGGAATACTATTAGGTGGATGTGTAATTGGTTAAGCGACCGAACCCAAAGGGTGCTCACCAATGGTTCCTCTTCACCCTAAAAAGAAGTGACTAGTGGGGTGCCATAAAGAGGATTCTGTCCTGAACCCAGTACTGGGCAACATCTTTATTAATGACTTGAATGAAGGTTTGGAGGGTGTGCTTATCAAGTTTGCAGATGACACCAAATTGGGAGAGATAGCTAATACTCCAGAAGACAGGATCAGAATTCAAAATGACTTCAACAGATTAGAGAGCTGGGCTGAAACTAACAACATAAATTTCAACAAGGAGAATTATAGGATACTACACCTAGACAGAAAAAAATGAAATGCAAAGATACAGGAAGGGTGATTCCTGGCTTGACAACGGTCCATGTGAAAGAGATATTGGAAGTCTTACTTGACAATAAGTTGAACATGAGCCAACAGTGTGATAAAGTAGCTAAAATAAATCAATGAGATTTTGGGCTACGTCAAAAGGAGTATAGTGCCTTGATCAAGAGAAGTCATGGTGCCTCTCTATTATGCTTTGGGGTCTGACCTCACCTAAAATACTGTGTCCAATTCTGGGCACCATAGTTCAAAAGAGGTATTGACAAGCTGGAAGGTGTCTAGAGGAAGGCAACAAAAATATCAAAGGTCTGGAGACCATGCTCTATGAGGAGTGGCTTAAAGAGCTGGGTATGTTTAGCCTGCAGAAGAGAAGGTTGAGAGGATACCTGATAGTAATGTGTAAATATCTGAAATGATGTAATAAGGAAGAGGAAGCAGGCTTATTTTCTGCTTCCCTAGAGTCTAGGACTCCAGAAAAGGAGATTCCACTTGAACATTAGGAAGAACTTCTTGACTGTAAGGAGAGATGTTCAACAGTGGAACTCTCTGTCTTGGAGTGTGGTGGAAGCTCCTTCCTTGGAAGCTTTTAAACAAAGGCTGATTGGCCACCTGTCAGGGTTACTTTGATTGTGCGATTCCTGCATGGCAGGGAGCTGGAATGGATGGCCCCTGTGGTCTCTGCCAACTGTATGATTCCATATTGTACCTTATTTACGTCAAATATTGAAAAAAAATACAGTTGTAGTTTTTATTTAGAACCTAATATAGGCTCTAAAATCAAAAAGGGGCTGAATCTCTATAGAAGCTCAGAGCTTTGCTATCATCAGTGTATGATATAATTCACAGAGATGTTTTCAAATCTGAGGAATAAAAAACATATGCCAAAAGAGTACTTTGAAACCCAAGAAGCTTTGTTGTAAATGCTTGGTATGGTTTTCTTAACCACAATTTCCTATGTTGGTTTCTAATGTATGAAAGTTGTTGAATATCTTGGCTGCAATTCTTAGGCCGCAGTCTCCTACTAGTTCCACTGAAGCTAGTTTGAGTATTGTGGGGTAAATCAGATCCAACATTATTCTAAAAACGGCAGTAAAGCAAAAATGGCCTTACATTTTCTGCAACTGCAAAACATAACATGACACTACCTATTCAATTCTCAATTCCAGCTTTTAAAACAAGGGGGCTAATTATGGTATGAGCAAAAACAATGGTGAAGGAAACTGGTTGTTGTAAGCCAACATGTCTGTCTGAAGGACAACATTTTGCCCACTAATACTTTAAAAAACACAGCCGGTTTTATAATTTTGCCTCTCAATTGTCAAAAATCACAACAATGAATCAGTAGATTCCCCCAAGTCTACACCGGTAATATAGTGCTATTCAATCGTGCGTTGAGTTCCCTTCCGGCTGTCATCTAGCAAGAAAGGATAGTTTGGAATGTTGATAATACATTTTGCGCAGAAGTCAAATTATTCTTTTCCAAATGGAAGTTCATTTGTTTACGTTATTTTTGCATATTTTCCTTTCTGTGAGGGTTCACAATTCTCCTGCATAGCAGAAGTAAATAAATTAATAAACGGTTCACTTTTTAAAGAAATATGTTTACTCCTTTGAGCAATGAAACAGAAATAAGGTGTATTAAAATAATGTAAATGTGTACTATGTGCTGGGGTGCTAGCACACTGTTGCAAAAAAAAGCCCTTCCAACTTTAAAATGATACATACATTTCAATTTCCACACATTTGAATACATTCTAGAAATAAGAAACCAGAAGAACTGAATTTTCACACTGCCAGTATTGTTCTGATAGAAAGTTCTAGTAACTAACACCTAAATGCAAGGAAGTTTGTTTGGGGGCCATCACTGGGTCACACCTGGGTACATTCAAGGGAAGCAAGTGTGAGGGTCAAAAGAGCTCCCTTTGCCCCTTTTGATGATAGTTTATGCTGGCAGACATTTACACTCTGCCTAAGTGCTTTCTGGGTCCAGACCCTGGATCATTTTCTTGTACCACTAACATGCTTGTAAAAATACATCTAATCTAGCATGCAATATTGCATTATAAAGTTCCTGGCAAATTTCTCTGCAGTCAACAGAATTATATGTGAACATTCTTGTGTTGTTGTCAGTAGTCTATCCATCAGTGATTATTCTGTGCTCATGTTGCATACATTTTGCAAATATCAAACAATAGCAGTGTTTCAGAATAAGATTAAGCATGTCAAATAAAGTTGTTCAAAGAATGCCAAACAAATAACAATGCTCTTTACAGTCCAACAGTTGTAACATGAATTCCACATGGCCTTTAATGCTTTGGTGACATGGCTTAAATATCTCCAAAGCATGACTATTGAAGAAAGACAGAAAGGGGAATCCAAGCACTAAATTCCTTTTGATATTATCCAGGAGCAATCTTGCCACGGGGTTTAAGATTCTCAGCATTTTTGTAAAGGGAAATATTCAGAGTTCTTGCTGATAACTGCACTTCAACAGCCATGCTCATGGTGAAAAAGCCTTCCATAACTCCAATCAAATATATGCAGTTCCAAATTTCAACAGTTTTACATTCATAGACAATGTCTCTGCTGGACCAACTGAGTTCAGGCCAGAGCATAGAAACTGCTTTACATGGTCTCTCAGGGAATATAATATTCTAAGCCATGTTTCAGGGGGGAATCCATGATACTGTGTTTTTTTTTTAAGAAATGTGTTTGTTAGATGGATGCATTTCAGGGGATATAGATGATATTCTGAATCATTTTCCAGTGCATGAGGTTTCAGTGAGTGTTTTGCCTTAGTGAGCTTGAATTATCCTCAGTTGAAAGGTGAAGGGAGTTGTTAAAACAAACCTCTTTAGCAGGTTGCATCCATTATTATTATTTATTTATTGCTGGTAGTGCAAAGAAAACCTGACTGCCGTCACACAGTGGTGTTAGGCTCCTTTATTGATTTGGACAACACTCAGAATGGTCAAAAGCCTGAGATAATCTACAAGTTTCTTTTCATATTTCAAAAAGAAAATTAGAAAGTAAAACCACTATTGGGTCATGCCAATAAAGAGGGAAAACATGCTCATAAAAGGAGGGTAGATCTTAATTAGAAGAAACAAATATTTGTATATTTTATTCCCATCCTGACTCTAAATAAAGACTAATTTTTTTAAAAGGAAGTGTGTGAACCTGGAAGATCTAAGGGATGAGTGTAAAACTGATTTGATCATATCCCAGTATGGGATACTTAGGACAAATAAGAGTTCCTTATACAGGAACTACTGCGAAAAGTGGCTTACCTATTTATGTCCAATAACAATTTCAACTTTTACTGAAAATCCTAAATTGTCTCACATTTCTGGGCAGTAGAAAAAAATGAAGTGAAATACCCTCTATCCTCAAATCTGCTTTATCACTAAGATCTTTCCCCAAATTTTACTACACAGGTACACTAGTGCTCCCAAACAATTCTGAACATGATCTCAAGAAATAACAATGTCTAATGCAGTGCTGTGCCTTAATGTCATAAACATGCTAGATCCTATTGGATTTTGGAAACTAATCAGGGTCAGCCTTGGTTAGTACTTGCATGGGTGGACCTCTGGGTATTCCTTGCTTTTAAAAAAACCCTATGGAATTAATGAGGCACTATAAGCCATCAGGCAATCTGAAGGCAGACACACGTACACAAGGTAGGGCAAGGTGTATCTGAGTCTAGGCCATTCCTGCTCAAGGGAATTTTTATATATGCTATAACACATACAAAGATTATCCTGCAAATGTTTGTTGAATCATACACTCCAAAGGAAATAAGGAAAAAAAATATTATGCTAAACTTTGAACAGCAAAGGTCACTTTTTTGTCCCTTCAAACTTTGGCATTCAATACTGCACATATGTACCTGCTACAAGCTGCATTTAGGTTTTCATATATGCACTTTGGTAGCTATTACTAATGGACGAAACTAGACATAACAGTGGCAGAATCTGGATCATGTTGAATTCTAATAAAATGAAGGATGTTTTAGAAAGCATCAAATCAATCAGAGGAGAAGGTGGAGAGGAACCCTTCCTCTTCTTCTGTTTCACCTAAAAACATCTTCTCTCTGTCCAGAGAGGTTTGTTCTGAATGTAGAATTCCTCGAGGAAAGAAAAGTTAGGAAGGAGCATTTTCTAGGGGAAAATATGGCATAAGTAGGAACAAAATAACTATACATTATTATCATTTATATCATGATGCATCTAAGCTCAATAATGACCTTTACTAATTCCTAAGTCAAAAGTTCAGAGGAGTGGAAACTTGGAAAGGAAAAGTTGGTACAAGATCACTGTGAAAAATAATAGAAACCCATTTGGTCATTTTACAATTCCTCTGCCTCCTATCAGAGAAGTAGAAATGTCATGAAACGGTTTTTAAGGAATCTGTTGTTGGCTTTTCAGAACGAAAGAGCTTGTGGTCCAATGATAATGAAATCTGGAGAATATAACTTGAACTCTACAATAAAGTTAGCCTAATGATCATGTCTATAATATGAAACCCACACCTGCAAATTTCAGTGCCAATAAACCAGTGGTGGTATTCATATCTTTCTGCACCAGCTGTTCCTCTGCTGAGTAGCGACTGGTATTTGCCACCATTAAGTAAAGCTTTTCCGAATATGCTTGTTGCTTCACTACTGGCATATATACTAGGACACCAATGTTAGGAGATGCAGCTGGCCAGTTTGAAGTGGGATGCCAAGTGACTTGCAGAAAAGCCTGCATAGAGTTGTTTTGCCAAATGGTACACAATCATGATTCTTATTCTCATTTTCAGGGCCCCACAATATATTTCTTTAATTAATTTATTTTGCATTTGCTGCCTGATGACAATGAAATCTGGAGAATGTGTGGTCATCCCTTTAATTATACTGACATTGCTTTGAGATATACCAAAAGAGAGCCAGCTAAGGAGCTACTGCACACACAATGGACTCCATGTCTGATTTTACTACATGAACTCCCAATGCTACTGTTCAATCTCTCACTCCCAATAGAAGGACTCTATTGACACTGGAACTTAAAAACATTACAAATGCCCTTTTTAGAATAATCAGTATTGGAAAATGCAATGAAGCTGGCAGGCAGCAAAGTGGATTAGTATTCTGCTGGACAGAAGAAGATGAAAAGCTGAATAGAAAGGAAAGTATATGGGACCTGACAGCCCCATTGCAGAGTGGGCAACTTCCTTAAGATTGATAGCCGGCTTGTGAGGGCACATCAACAAGCAAGGCAAAAAAGACAGAAAGAAAGTGTGTTTGGAAAGATGTGAATACAAGGCAGAGAATGGCCATTGGCAAAGGTAGTAGAGGGCTTTCTCTGCTCAGGAAAAACTCAACAGGAGCAGAAATAAGGTGAGAATAACCTCTTTCCCTCCAGCTGAGGAAACCCAAAGCTCACACTATCCCCATCCTGCCCTCTCGACATGGCTAGATTCATGTTAGTACATTATGCTAGCACTTGCACTTCTAATGTTGTGCAGCAGCGGAAAAGGGAAGGCAAACGCTGCCTTCCCTTGCCAATACTCTGAGCAGACTATTTCTCTAATGCATATTTATGGTCACCATGTCTGTGATTTTCATCCTCCTGTGGCCACTGCTTACACTTGCATATGCCCCAAAACAATTTGTGCATGGTCTTTAAGTTGAAAAATTATGCTGGACATATTATGAAAGTCCATTTTTGAAATCCAAAAGTGGCCTGTAATTTCAAGCATGAGGATGCTTTCTACAACAGAAGTTACAAAGACTGCTCATTCACACATTCCATGCTTTTCAACACATCTTCCAGAAAAGTATGCTATGCATATTTTTGTTTAAAAAAAGGTAAATGGGACAAGCAAAAGGGAAATCCATTAGATTTTGCATATATGAAGTTCTCCCTCCCTCCTTTCTCATCCTTCCCTGTTATACCTATGACTTGTAGGGTGAAAGAAGGCACCCAGAAACTAACAGATGAGTGGATTTTGAAAAACTAAGCGGAAAAAAGGAAAATTTTGATTGAAAAGTACTTTTTTATGGCAATATTTTAAAAAGTGTGATATACAATGTTTGAATAAAATTGTTTCTCATGGATCTCAGCCCACAATATTATATAGCATTTATAAACATCAGTAAAGCCCAGAAGAGAAAATGTAAGTATTTTCATATGGCATAATGCAAACCTTCTGGAGTACTTACTCAAATATGCACAGAGTGTTTAAAATTCTTTTTATATTCAATCTAGTCATCTTCATTTATGGGAGAATCCAAAAACTAACCCAAATCTGGATATGGTTGGGCAAATGTCAAAAGAACCAAACATCCAGGAAAATGCAAAATAGAAAATAGCTGATTCATATACTTCTGTGTGTATTGTGGTTGTGTATGTGTGGATTCCCTGGAGAAATCTGATTTGTGTCCATAACAGCAATGCACCTTGAACTGAATTGAAGTGGGGTTGTTCTGGTATTAAGATGATTGCCCAGTTAAGGCAAATATCGGTTGGGAATGATTTGGAGATTCACTTGGGCACTTCTAAAATTCCAGATTATGGCACTTTTTAATTGTTTCCAGGCCAATCCAGTAAAACATTTGCTCCAATTGTTGTCAAAAGATGCTCACTGATTTCAGGCTCTGAAAGATTTTGCCCAGGCACATCCAGATTTTATCACACTTCTGGATTTGCATTTTACACATGCATTAATACTGCGATAGGCAAAGCTGATTATTTCTCCTGGCCAGAAACATCTTCTAGAAACTATAAATAACAAATACCAAGCCTCTATTCAGCACAAGAAAGCTCAGAGGTACTCACCCTGCAAACTGGGCATTGCCAGTGACTACTGCTGTCTCTAAGCCTGAACTCATCAGATAAACACTTGGAATGATACACACGAAAACACAGGTCACATATCAACACCTCTCCAGGAAAATGGCATTCAAAACAATACCAGTCATGAGTTTCTGTTTCCCAGTCCTACAAAAAATACAAAATAATTTGATAGAACATTCTGTCAATATCTGAACAGCCAAAAACATTTTACATTTCTGATACTGCACCTCCTTTGTGGATTTAAGTCCAGCTGTTTTCAGGGGGACATATCCAAATCCCATAAATAAATTTAAGGAATCTTAATAACAGAACACGACACACTTTTAACCTTTCAAGAACTCAGGCTTTAAATCTTGTTTTAAGAGCATCTGGTTAGCATCACAAACACAATAAATATGACACGATCCCAGCCATTCAGAAAAAATACCCCATTATTAGAAAAAAATGTTCTTGCCATGCATAATAGAATCTTTGTATTAATCCCAGTGACCCCGTCTCCTTGAAAGATGATGAGAATACTCCTACTGCATTACATCAGTAAATTGTAATGCCTAACCTTTTGCCATCCCATTAATAAGTTCCCCCTTGCAATGGACATGAAGATAGGGATCCTTTTCTTGCTGTTTGAAGCAAAAGTTCAGAAGGGATCTGAGGACTGTCCTAGTCTTAGGTTTTTAGAAAAGAAAGAAAAGGAGAAAACTGCTACTCCACAACCAATTCTTCTTCAGCAACTACGGCTTGTCCTTTAAAGTATCTATTTGTTCTATAAATGATCTATAAATAATATCCCCTAACGGGTACTACTTTCAGAGACAAGACAGTTGCCAAGCAAAACAGATTGGTCTGGGGACAGTAGGTGTGGCATATATCCATGACCCTGGGCCATGGGCAGTGTGAGTGCAAGGTTTTAATGTTTTACAATTACTTGGAAAGCTTATTGTTTTAGAATACATTTTCCAGATTCCCCTTGGCAGCATGGTGACTGGAATAAGTATTAAAAATAGCTTCTCCAAGCTTTGAACTGAATGTAATAGTCAACTTTAAAAATTCTTAGATTTTCACTATGAAGTCTGACCCACTTCCCCATCCACTTTGGGGTCTCATCTGCCATTTTACAGGGGGTTTTTTGGGGAGAGGGGGTGTTCAATTTCAATGCTTCTTTCTATAAGACAGTTTGCCAAAGGTTTAAGGAGTGTTCATAATAAAAGTATATTTTTAAGCCGACCCCTTTTCCTTCGAATGTGCACAATTCAGCCAAAATAAAGTATCCTTTAAAACACTTTGCTTTCAAGGAGAGAAAGTTTAGCAATGAAAGAATGAAATGTACCCCAGTGATCTTCAATTGCTAATCTCTATATATGGACTTCATCTGTATTCAGAATCCATATGAGCAGTTCAAGTTAAGCTTCTATCCGGTTTAACTTAATTCCCACTGAAATAAACTTACTGAACCACACTTAACAATGCTAGGTAATGTTTACAGCATTCAGCTTATTCATAACAGATAATAAATATTCCAGTTGGAATTTTGAACTTATACCTACCAGGACAGCTTCATGGGGAAGCTCCACAAACAGGTGCTTGGGAGGCAAGATTATAAATAGTGTCTGTAGAGCAGCCCAATAGTTAAGAAATGTACCCAAAGCCTACACAGACGAAGTGCTGAGGTTCACTTCTCATATGAAGTAATGCTTAAATTGGCAAAATGTTTACATTAATTACACAAGCTAACCAGTATTTTTCATCAGATATAATTTTAGATCATTCTTCTAAAAAAATTTGCGCTGAATTCAGAACCATGTTTATTTTTTTCTATCACTTGTAGTGTTTGCGATGAGGCTAAATAAATAATTAATGCATTTACACACTGAAATCAATAGGATCTCATTGATATCAGTGCATAAATGCATTAATTATTTGAATAGTCTTGGCAAAACTATATGTGATAGAAACAAAATAAACACAGATCTGAATTCAGTGCAAAAAAAACTCTATAAGAATGACCTAAAATCATATCTGATGCAAAATACTTGTAGGCTTGTGGTTAATTAGAGTCTATCGATATTAGTGTGTAAACCCATTGATTATTCAATTAGCCTCATCATAACAACTACATGTGATCGAGAAAAAAATAAACGCAGATCTGAATTGAGCGCAAAAAAACTCTATAAGAATGATCTAAAATTATATCTGATGAAAAATACTTGTTGGCCTGCAGTTAATTAGATCCTATTGATATCAGTGCATAACTGTATTAATTATTTGATTAGCCTCATTGCAAAAATTACACATGATAGAGAAAAAATAAACACAGTTCTGATTTCAGCACAAAAACTTCTATAAGACTAACCTAAAATTATATCTGATGAAAAATACTTGTTGGCTTGTGTTACACAAATATGACATGAAATGTGCAGACTATAGAGTAGACTGCTGTAACGTACCATTTGTCATATTTAAAAAGTTGACATGATGGGAAAAATTATTTAAACCGTGCTACTCTCATTTCTGAATATTACAAAAAGTTTGATTTTGTTGGCTTGTGTTGGTGGTGTTTATATTTATGATGACACATTTGAGGGATAAGCTGATATTTCATTAGCACTTTAGGAATAAGTGGGGAGTCCCATTCACACAAAGATGCTGTAAAGGTTTGTATGAACAATTGTCACATTGGTATATAGCATACAGCTGTGATTTCCATGATGGAAGGCAATCTGAAAGATGCCTCATATTGCATATATATTCAGATTGGTTAAATGTACATGTAAGGTCCTTGCAATATCTGCCCTGTGTACTTTTAAAGCACTGTTGTTGTAGCCATCACCAAGTGTAAACAGCTCTTTAGAATTCTATTTTTCGTCTTTAAAATATCAAAACTTTAAATTATTTAAATTATTTTTAAAGGACACAAGAAAAAAATAAAACCCAACCGGAAATTTTTCTGTATTAATTTCACTGAAGTAAAAGAAAACTGTACAAGGACCTTGCAAAACTCCCATTCATTTTAGAGGGGTCTTATACAGAAGAACATCTAGGTAGACTCTAACTATCATCTAAAGTCATGCAATTAGATAATAAACAACAAAACAAGAAGATAAAATTGCAATGGTCAAGCCACTAATGGTATTTGAATCATGTAAATCAAATTCCTATTAGTGACAGAGATATATGTTTAACTGTTGTTACTAACCGCTATTAAGTTGATTTCAGCTTTGGTGACCCTCTGAATGAGAAACATCCAAGTCACTCTACCATCAACTCAGGACTTGCAAACTCGGCCTTGTGGCTACTTGATTGAGTCTATCCATATGCTAGGCTGTTTTCCTCTTCTCCTACTGCCTTCTACCTTGCCAAGGATTATACAGTCTTCTACTTTCTCTGTATAACTGCTGTGGAGAATGAAGGTAGATCTTTGCTGTTCAGTCCAACTCCTCCCTTCTCCTGGCTGTTTAATAATTGTAACTGCCCTCACAGGGCTTGACTGCTGCTAGGATGGGGAATTCTGCAGAGCTGTGAGCCATGCATGGTCTCAACCACAGATTACAAGGAAATCTCTTGTAGTATCTTCTAGCTTAATTATGTTTAAGCACTTTTTCACGCCGTGTCCTAACAAACAAGATCTAACTAACTCAGGTATGCAGCAAGTGGTACACTCCAGCTTAATTTGCTGCAAAGCTCTTGCTCTGACGTAACCTTTTCTGTTTAGCTGGACAACATACTGGGACTGATCCAAGTTTGCGGCCAATCATCACCCACACAGGCAAAGAGTATTATCTTGCAGCCCAGGCTGAATTGATCCAGGTTACTGATACTCCAAATGACAGAGTAACTTAAATTTGAGCATCACTGTATTTAAGAGTGTATTGATAATCAGAATTATTCACAGAGATATAATCCAACTATGCTCTTCATAAATGCATTGTTAACTCAATGGCAATATGTGCATTTGAAAAGATTTCGATCATTAAGGTTTAATGATTATTTCTGGAAATAGTTACAAAGAGAGGTGAACGAGCACAGCCATAACAAAGAAGGAAGAAGTTGGAGGGCACACTACGTATGTGACCCAGGGGATACAAGACTAATCTGACTGCCACTTGTTGGGACCTTGTATTTCTGATATGATACTTCATCAAAAACAACAATAAAACAGAAAATTAAAACATCATGTTTATAATTAAAATTTAATAGAATAAACAGAAGATATGTAGCAAAACTGAGGCCATTAAAATGAATGCTAATGGCAAACAGGTGAAAATCAGAAAAATGTCTCATAGTAGATATCATGTGTATTCTCCATAGAGATTTCAAGGTCCTTGTAAAATTTGTGTACATGATTATCTGTAAGATAATTTCTTCATACAATACATGACATATTTCTATGACTTGACCATCTCCTTATGAATTGATGGCAAATACAATACTTCTCAAAATGTAAAAATAACAAAAAATCTCCTTTGCACTTGCAAACACTACCACCAGGTGTCATCATCTACTCCTAAAATAGCGGATAAAAGGGAAACCATTGCAAGTTCATATCTTGTGGCAAAACATGTGAGCAACCACTTCCAGCTCCCCAGGAGGAGGAAGAAGAAAAAATTAAGCGTCTGACTGTACTGGCCAAATGCAGAACTGCAAGGAACATGGATGATTAACATTATTCATACAATGACCTGAACACTGAAGAAGCAGTAATCTAATCTATCCTACTGTACAACAGAAAGAAACTATAACAGGAAATTAAGACTACATAGTGCAAAAGTTGTTCACCTTGATTTTTGCTGTTGTCCGGGAGAAAGGCTGCATACTGTAGGCCTTTCAAAATAAAGAAAACAAAAAACACACACATGGTCTCTGTACTGGAACCCATCTGAGATAAAAAAATTGAAACATGGAGATGGGGAAAGCACTATTACAGACAGCATCCCAGGCACACATATTTTCCCAAACACCTGAAATTTTTCTAGGGAATTAAATTAATTAGGAAAACACATTTGAAGCAGCAAAGAACTAATGTCTAAAATTATTCAGCATAACAGTGGAAAGAAATATCTATATGACAGGTCCCATTGTGGTATCAAACCCTCGAGAAATGGAAGATGGTGTTCCCTTTATTACACATTATCAGGGACCTACTACTCTTCATATTTTGTAAATAAATTATGCTTTTGGTTTGTTGCTATAACTAACTGGACAAGTAACAGTACCAGCTGAGTAACTATGAAGCAAATCAGGAATTCCTATGTAAGGAAAAATTCCCCAAATGAGAAAATGGGCGAGAGTCAATGTACTAGCACACAAGTGGAAGCAACATTGCATATCTCATCTGATGCCGTGGCATGGACAGTTTTGACTCCAAAAGACGTGGGGTGAATTTAATATGATATTATACCATGTGGATATGCAAGGGAACTATCAAATACAAATGTCCATAATTTTATGATTGTGATGCTATCTCTTAAAAAATATGGCACAACACACTACAGTAATTCTTCGTTTTAGTTTAACTTTTCACAAATAAAATAGAACACAACCATTGCTGTATTCAGCTTGGTTCATCACCATCCATTATTCATTTATATCCCACTCTACTTCCCCGATACTGAGTCAAGGTGGCTTACACAATTAAAACAAATACATGTGATTGCCATTGGGTTTCTGAAGTGTCAAAAGGCTCCCTAAGGTATGTGTTCCCAGCCTGCCTTTTTAAAAAAGCAGACATGTTCATTTTGAAGGTGGGGTTCTGGATGTGCCACTGAATTTTAGTAGCAGAGCAGCTGGGAGTCTGGAAGGTGTATACAAAAAAATTGACTGATCTTGCCTATTGCTGCTGTAAAAGAATAACTGAAAGTGAGAGCTATTTCCCATGTTAGAAGAGTGTTCTTGTATACTACTTTTTTTCTTCTTATACTTGCCTACAAGACTTCGAATTATGGGAAGCATAATTTTGGTGCTTCCATGCAAGCACCAAAATGCCATGGAAAATTATATGTGCTGTGGAATCCAGCATTTCAGAAATATCAATTCACTTTTTTCTAGATCTTATATGGATAAGAATATGTGCAATGCCTATTAAAATCTACAAAACATGAAATATTTCAAATGGCCATGGGGCAGGTTTTCAATTTCATAGAAAGCACATTTACCTTCCTTTGACTAGTTATGGTGTAAAAGTATGCCAACTAAGAAAACATATGGGCAATTCGCTAGGCTTCTACTCATGATTAATTCTATCTTCTCAATAAAAATAACTATTAGTACAAAATACAGACAACCCTGACTATAAATATCTGGGAGGAATGTCATAAGCACCACAGTTATGTGTAACAACTTCAGTACCATTTATTGCGAAGTTCAAGGATCTTGGTCCAAGTTGACATGGTATCATTTCAAAACGTTTAGATTTTGTGAACCATATCTCTCTGTAGGTTTTTGGGCATCTATTTCTTGGAACTTACTACTTTTTATGAAACTAGCTTTATTTGAGATTACTGCTTTATCTTTCAAGTGCATAATTTTATTTAACAATAGGATTTTATTGTTTATTTCTTGAAGAACCCTTTCCTTTGTTGCTTACCTGTAAAAATGGTTTTTAAATGATTGCCTGTGAACATATGCACACAGATTTTCCTGTGTAGAGCAATCTTAGATCATTCTTAGATCATAAGCTAAGCATTTGTAAAGGCAACCCCAACATCTCCTATGAGCATAGCCTTTGTGTACCTCCTCTATTCTTTCTATTCTGTGTCCACTCCCATTGTAACAGGGAACATTTTCAGAGGGAATAGAGGAAGTCAGTCTATGTATTTAAGCACTGGACATATACACTGAAGAGGGAAAGGCTAATCAGTTCTCACCCCCAATACACAAAATTGCTCAGGTCTGGGAGATTCCAATTTTTTTTCTGTACAGAAATGCTATCCATGAAAAACTTTATTTTGCAACTTTCACCAAGTCTCTGGTATACTGATTAAAATACTGCAAGCATTCAGATTTAAATTAAAGTTGAAATGTGTCTGAGTTTAGTTTTTAAAGAATGCTCCAATTAATATGTTTATTTTTTCTCATTTTGTTGATTAGTCCCAGCTAGAGAAGACCTATTCAATTAATTGTTGAATAGTGACTCAACAGATAAATAAATCCGGTTGGTCTACTCTAGTAAAGACTAACAACAGGATTTAAATCACTATCAGAATTGATACACATTTTTTTCAGCTTCAAGATAAACTGAATGCAACAACATGTAAAACACAACTGCAGTTTCAGGCAGTATGACCTAGTACTCTCAATCTGATAGAAAAGTCTTAGGGCATCTAGCTGATTTTGATCTCAAAAAGCCAGACAGAGGTCTTGGGCTCTTCTAATCCATAAGACTTTAAGAGATAAACTGGCCACTCAAGTCCAATTTCTATACCCAATGAGCCTCCCAGCAGTAACTCCTGTGATGCCCTTCTGCAAAAGAACGTATGAACAGACATCCTTCGTCAAAGCAATTCCAACAATGACCAACAGGGGCATTTTATGGAACAAAATGGACATTTCCAAATGATGTGACATTCCTCCTTCCCTCCTGCAGTCCCCTTAAGCTATACATTTGATTTAAATAATATGGATGATCCAATGAATCACACTGCAGTTCTGTACACTTATGGTTTTCTAATGGCAGATGAATGGTGTCACATTAGCAAACCACTTTTAAAACTCAGGAGACTTTCTGCAAAAGCCAGTTATGCAGCATGCTGTTGAAAGGGAGAGGTGGGTTTGTTTGTCAGTAATTGTCATCTAATGCTTTTATTCCTTAAGATAAGCCTTAGCTAAAAATGTTGTTTATTCGTTCAGTTGCTTCCAACTCTTTGTGACCTCATGGATCCTTCAAGGTAAAGCCAGTCACCTCAAGGACAACATCCATGCATCTTGAACTTGGTTAGCCCCTCTTCCCATTTTCTTCCATTTTCCCCAGCATCATTCTCCAAGTTTTCCTGTCTTCTCATTATGTGGTCAAAGTGCTTCATCTTTGCCTCTAATATCCTTCTCTCCAGTGAGCAGTCGGGCATTATTTCCTGGAGTATACTGATTTGGTGCATATAAACAATGTCTACGCTTTTGCATTAAAAATGTTTTCATTATGTCACCCCATTTTTATGTCTCTTCATGGATTCCCTGTCTTTTTAGGATCCAATGGAAGTATCTTATAGTAATTCTTAAAGGCCTACATGACTGTTTCCTTGATCTTTTCCTAGCTCAGGGTTTGTATGTCCTCCCCTCCTCTGCTTTGTTTCATCCTTTGTGCCCTATTGCTTCATACCCTTGGAACTCTTTCTCAAAATATCTGCAGACTGCTCCTACAAGCACTGTTTTATGTCTCAGATAAAGATTGCTTTGTTTTCTAGTGTCTTTGGGATTCTATTTTAGTTTTACATTATGTATAACTAGATAAATTTGTTTTGCTATTTGTATTAGTCCCTTTATTGTCACATATTCCCCTTTTTACCACATTGTATGCCCGATTGTCTGCTTGTATTGTGTGTTTTTGTACAGTGGCAGCACGCTGAATAAATTATTATTATTATTATTATTATTATTATTCATCTTTAACACTCTAACCCATCATTAGTTTGGATCTAAAACATTATAGGTTGAAAAATGAACTTGTGATAGCTATAAGAGACCATTAAAGAAATTAGTTTCCTATAAAGTTTGACATTTAAGAAGCAAACTCTACTAAGGCCCCTGTGTGCTAGCTGCTAGTTGGAACTGCTAATAGCAGATCGTCAACATAACAGGAAATGTGATGTAAATTCTTGCAGGAAATATACTCACAATTTCATCTCCGGGCAGCCAGTATCCTTCTTGCTCAATACCAGCTTTTGATCCCTTACATCCCACTGTCAAAGTTTCAACAACAAGGCCATCCTTCACTGCTAAACTAAGTTGACGTGTGGTCTCTTTGGGATGCATACCATGAACCCGAGACATATACCTGTAACAAAACAGAAAACAAGTACTAAAACATCCAAGACACACACCTGTAAGAGAACAGAAAACAAGCACTAAAAATCTTAACATTTGCATATACTTTGTGGTATACATTTGGCTCTCTACATTCATGGTCTAATATTTGCAGTTCTGATCATTAGCAATCTTGCGTTACTCCTTAACTAGATCAAGCTCCTCCCTCTTGCGCCACCCCCCTTTCCTTCTGTCTTGTCAAGAGCATATGGGGGCATGTACACATTCAGCAGCCCCATCCTCAGGAGGTGGGAGGGGGAAAGTAATCCCTGACACCACTGCACCTCCCTTACAAAGATGGGGCTGCTATATGTGCCATGTGAACATTCATACAGCATCCCCATCCTAAGGAGGTGGATGCAGCAGTGATGAATTTCCTCCCACCAGCCTCCTGAGGATGCTGCTGATGTGTGAATGTGCAGATGGCTCGGGGAGGGATGCAGTGGCTGTGGGCCGAGTTCCCGGTGGTGCAATGGGTTAAATCCTCGTGCTGGAAGGACTGAGGTTCAGAGGTACGAATCTGGGGAGAGCACAGATGAGCTCCCTGTCAGCTCCAGCTCCCCATGCGGGTATGAGAGAAGCCTTCCATAAGGATGGTAAAATATCAAAACATCCGGGCAGCCCCTCAGCAACGTCTTTGCAGACGGCCAATTCTCTCACACCAGAAGCGACTTGAAGTTTCTCAAGTCGATCCTGACATTAAAAAAAGAGGCTGTGGAGCGAGTCATGCTTTTTTTGTACTGAACAGAAGCCATGGTGCTCTGCCCCCACTATTCAGTATTTACTATTTTCCCACTTTTGTGGGGTTCCTGTTTCTCTAACTCCCACAAATGTGGAGAGCCAATTGTAAAAAAATATCTGGAAACACTTTGTGATTTTTAGCTTCCTGTTTTGATTTTCACATTGCTTAACATTTCTTATTTGGTTCTTAATTTAGATATTTATATTACACCTAGGATCTCAAGCTAGAACACAAACATTTGAACAATGTGAAATTAGGAAGAGTAAAAAATAATTTAATCACATTGGAAGTATATAAAACAGCATGATAAATTGTTACATAAGTTAAACCAGCTTAAAACCATAAACATCTGCACACAGAAGCTTTGATACAAAAGCAACAGACTGAAGCAGTGTTTGCACAAATTAAAGAGAAGGTGTTCCACAAGTAGAATGCCATAGCAGAGAAAACCTCCTTCAATCTCATCACACAGTGTATTTTTCTCCCTGATGGAACACATAGGAGGGCTGCTTCTCCAAGACTTCATTCCCACAGCAAGAACTTACAGAGAGAGGTTACTGCTTTATACATTCTCTAACTAAATCAGTTTGTCAGCCTAAATGAATCTGTGCTCCATATTTGTTGCTCCCAAGTATTGATAGATTTAAGATTCTTAATTTCCCAACTATACATGACCAACAGTGTTAGATTCTGTGTACCAACTCCCCCTGAAAGGGTCAAACAAAGTATTAGGATCCGTAGGTTGTGGGGGTGGGGGGGGGGGGGTTCACACTGTTGTTTATAAACCTGTATCACACTGTTGTTTATAAACCTTCAGAAAGGTAGCGTGGTAGTTTTCCCAACAGGCAGCACCACTACAAAAACCAAGCACAGCAGTTCAATTAGGAACCATTTAGGGAAGGAGGAGATATGTATTGTACGGAATGACACCACCACAGAAGTTTCTGCCTCTCTTTGTATTTCTTTTATAAAGATTTCAAAGAAACTACACCATATGTTAGCATTAAACTGTCTTAGAATACTAAAAGTGAACCAGATCTTTCAAAATGTCTGACAACATACCAACAGAAGCAACAAAAACCAGAGGGGAAGAACTGAATTTGGAAACTCAGTCTTAAGACTTTACTGTGAGGCATATATGTATCCAAATGAACATCACAGAATTCTAGCCTCTGTAATAATACATTTTTACAAATAACAATTTTAAAATTCCAAATATTTAAATTCATTGATGGCTTATGCCTAATATTGTCATACATTTTCATGGAAATTGAAGTTACCTTCCAGAGATAACTTTCCTGCAGGAGAAAAAAAACCTAATCTGGAACTAAGAATAAAATTCAATCGTGCACTCTGATAACTACCAGGCAAAGCTACATGCAATGCTTGCATAGTGGGGGAGAAAGAAAATAAACCTAGCAAACCACAGGTTGCCTTCTGTGGCACTCAGAAAAGAACTCAGCAAAATGATCCTGACTCGCCTGCTTGGCTTTGGGCAACTAGAATCTGTCAAGCAACTGACTTGAGAGTAAATGTTTTCAATCTAGAACTTTGATTCTTTTTCTTTCTCTCTACTGATTTTCCCAATGAGTGACCTACACAGAGGTAATGGAGCAAAAAAGGCAAAGTTCCTTTTGATGTAAGAGTCCAAATTATATTGCCAAGGAAGCCCATTTCTGATTAAGAGAAAAATTCTACACAGCCTATTAATACAAGAAGTTGGCTTATGTTGCTAATAGGCACAAGGAACAATCTTGCAAGACTCACAGAAAAGATAAAACAACCCCCCCCCCCCCCCCGCTGTTCTTTTGAAAGACCTGATGAGCCTTACCTTGAAGAAAAGAGACTAACTAGTTATGCTATGATCATGTTCAGCCTCTGGTCAACAGATTGGGAAAGGATATGCTGTTTTCCAGTCAGGCAGGAGACATAAAACAAATATGTTTGCAAATAGGTAAGCACACCTCACAGAGACAAAGTTAATTCCCCTAAGATACTAAGTAAGCCTTAAGTTGGCTAGGAGGCTGAAATAATCTTCGGCATCATAACGTCACAGAGTCAAAGGACATTAATGATAATCTCCACTAGCTAAAAGAAAGACCTGTCTGCTGAAAAAAGGGGGTTCTTCCCGATAATTTGCTTGTTAAATTCCTGAACTGGCCAGATAGAGGCTATCCACCCTCAAGGTAGTGAAGAGACCAAGAGAGAAATCTTAGACTGCAACCCAGTGTTCTAGTATTTATAGCTCAGTCTTCTTGGGATTTACTCATCTGCAAAGAGAATAATACAAAATCTACTTAGATTAGTGCAAGGCTGTCCAAGCAGAATTCTTGGACAAAGGGATAGACCTGTATAAAATACAAATAAGCAACCATTCCTCTCTTGGTTTATTTATTTATTTAAACCTAAAACCCATTGGCTGTTCCAATGTGCCTTTTCAGATTAGGAATTCTCCCAGTACCAAATCCTAGAAGCCCTTTAGTACCAAAAACACCGCACACTGCACACCGCACTTATATCATAATCCCACACCCCTCCGACTCATCAGCACTTTTAATCTTGTACCCCTACTTTGGCCGACTCAGTTTTTAATAATGTCTTGTCGTATTGCCATTGTTATTGTTTTTCTGCTTAACTGTTTTTATTTGCTAGATGTTGTATTGTTGTATTGTGATGGGCTTCGGCCTATTGTAAGCCGCATCGAATCCTCCGGGAGATGCTAGCGGGGTACAAATAAAGTTATAATATAATAATAATATAATAATTGCAATTCTGTACCCATCTACACAGAAGTAAACCATCTTGATCTGAACGGGAATTACTGTAATATAATGTAACTGTGAAGAAGATCCCAGATTATGTTTTCTTTCTCATATGAGAAAGTTATACTCCCCCAAATTTCAAAACCTTTACAGATACATGCATATTTGCATCAAGAGCAATGCAGTCTGACAAGAAACTCAGTCATTGTGAAAGTGTCTTCTTTTATTTGACCAATTCAATTTTGTGATCTGGCTACACAATGTTAACAACCTTCTACTGCAAATCAATTTTAGATTTATTAACATTATACATTTATATCCCGCTGTTTTACCAATAATATGGTTCCTTGGCCAGCTAACAATAATTATAAAAGAAACTATTTGAAAATCCATAAAAAGAAATTGTTATCACAATTTAAAAATAGCATTCAATCAGTTAAAAACTACCTTGAGACAACAGAAGAATTTCAATGTCAAAAGGCTCTTCAGAAGAAAAATGGCTTTGCTTTTCCCATTACAGAAGTAGAGAAGCTGTGTCCCTTTCAGCAGCGCCTCTTTATTCAACAAATTAGTGCAAGCAGAGCAAGGGGTGCAAGTGCTGCAGGAGGATCTATTCTGATTATTTGCAAATTCCATTACACATCTGTACATGCAGGATTCTGCATGGGGAGCAGAAACATATCCACCGAATATGTTTCTGCTCCCCGTGCAGAATCCTCTACCTGCAACCTATCACAAAAGATTAGCACAATAGAACTCATTAACAGAGCAGGGAGTTGACTCAAGGTTTCTAACTTTTAAAGTAGAGTGTTCCACATTTCTTTTAAGCACAACAGAGAGATGAAAGTTTCATCAGTCAAAATACTGACAGTGATCCCAAAATTGCAAAACTGTGTATAGGTTGGACATCCCTTACCCAGAATTAAGAAATGCAAAATACTCCAAAATCCAAAATTGTCTCCATGGGTAGCTGAGACAGTGACACCTTTGCTTTCTGATCATATACACTACAGTATTAAAAATGTGTGTTGATTCATTCAGTTACTTGGTGACAGGCATAATGGACTAGCCCACGCCAGAGCTTCCTGTCAGCCATCGCCACCCCCAGCACCTTCAAGAACAGCATCCTTCCATCTTGCCCTTGGTCAGCTCTTTTTCCTTCTATTTTCCCCAACATCATTCTCTTCTCCAAGGTATTCTGTTTTCTCATTATGTCGCCAAAGTACTTCATCTTTGCCTTCTAACATCTTCCCTCCAGTGAGCAGTCAGGCTTTATTTCCTGAAGTATGGACTGGTTGGATCTTCTTGCGGTCCAAAGCACTCTCAGAATTTTCCTCCAACGCCACAGTTCAAAAGCATCTATCTTCCTTCGCTCAGTCTTTCTTATGGTCCAGCTCTCACATCCATATGTTACTATGGGGAATACCACTGCTTTAACTATTTGGACCTTCACTGACAGTGTGATGT